GAGTGGCATCAATAAAAATTCATATGCTCAGTCAAGAAGAAAAGAAGAATGAACATCGAGATGAGAAGATGGAAGGGTGAAGTGGCTGGAAGCATAAATTGGTTGATACTTTTGATCTGAATGAGTTTTGGATTGGGGAAGAGACATACAACAAGGTGTGGAAGAGGAAATACCCCCCTATAAGGAGATGAATCGTCGAGCCATGCGACGTTAAATGAAGAACTTTTTGGGAAGCAACCCACACTTTTAACTTAGTTTTTGTTTAATTTTGTCTGCAAGTAATAAAAAGGGAGTCTTACTGGTGAAAGATAGGAGGCACCAACATGTTTGCATTCTCCTCTGTGTGTCACCTTCCTTCTGGTTGTTCTGAAATATTGGGGTTAATGTTTAGTTCAAGTTTTTTTTTTGGGGGGGGGGGGGGGGGGGGGTTATTGCTTTTCTTTTTACTGCTTTGTTGTTCGATCCGTTTGTTGGTTTTATGGTAAGTATTATATAATTCCACGAGTTGAAGTCCTTCCCAAATTGTGCCGAATTTTTTTGTTTTGTTTATGATGTTGTTTCTTATAAATTTATGGAATAGTATATAGAGACAAAGGGATGGTTGTTGGAAGGTAGGAAGTTTGAAATAATATGACAATGATACGAGTCTAATTTGTAAATTTGTACCATAATGCTTAAATCCTGAGAAGTACCCCTGAAGTAGTTTATCCTTACAGTCTGGCAAAACATAGATTCACATGCATGTATGATTGATGTAAAGATAAATAAATTTGGCACTAAATTATGAAAAGGAGGTAAAAGGTAATTGGCTCGCTAAGTTGGGTATCCATCATCCCGTTATTCAGCCCAAAGGGGGTTGATCCCCAAATGTCATCCTAAAGGATAATATATAACTTCAAAGTTTGAAAATTTCATCGGTAATTAAAAGTAGCCAATGCTGCTATTAAGTGCCTAAGAAAAAAGTCTTGATTAGTCTTGTGCATGAGATGATCATCATAATTCTCATTGTCTTAATTTGACTATCCAAATGAAAAAGGAGGAAAATCGAAAAGAGAATTAAGTACAAAGCATAGTTAGAAAGGTATCTAAAGAGGAAGCTCTAGATTTAAAGATTCTTAAATAAACTCTTAGTTTCATGCGAAAATCGGACATACTGCTTTTTGGTCAATTTAAACGGATGTATCACGTATGAATATCGGGTTGTTGTGTTTTCATGAGTTCTTGTAATTGTCTCTTGAGGTCAAGAAATGGTTTAAGTTTGGGGGAGTTTGATCAGTGGTTTTTACACAGACATTTAATATTTATTTTATTTATTGTTTCTTTATTTTGTCATGTGTTTCATGTCATTCTTCTATGTTTTATGTGTTGGTTGTGTATTTTATTGTTTTCAGGCTCAGAGGAATAAAACCAGGAAAATCGGTGCAAAAAGTTAAAATTAAGAGTTTTGGAGGAAGTCTCAAAAACCAAGATACAGGGTGCCTGACACAGTCACCCATGTCACCTGACACGGGCCGTGTCTGGATGAGCACTATTGTCAAAGAGGAAAATAAGGGGGCTGACACGGTTGCCTATTTTGCTTGACACGGCCCGTGTCTGGGTTCCTGAACCAAAAGTCATAAAATGATTTATCAGAAAGCCAACACGGGCGGCCGTGTCACCTGACACGGGCTGTGTTGGCCATTGACGTAGATTTTGAGTGTTTTTATGATTTTTCACTGGTTGGGACCCATAGGGACGTTTTGGATATTTTGGACCGAGATAAATGGATTGTTCACTATTTATCCAAGTTTCCACAATGAAAACAAGGACTATTTTGACGGGAGAAGATTATGAATGATAAAGGTTTGTGCTTTCAAGAGATTTAGAGACATAGATTCCTTCATGAGAAACATCAATTGAAATCGAAGAATCCTCACCTTTTGTAATGTCTAATTTTATTATTGCTTTTCTTTTTAATACTATGAGAGGCTAAACCCACCAATGCTAGGGGGTGTCCCTGATTTTCAAATGTATTGATTTTGAATTCTTGGTATTAATACAATAGTTGCTTTTCAATTTAATTGTTCAACGTTGTTATGCCTTTCATATCGGACAAATAGGCAGTGATCCATGGTTAACAATTAGGGTTGGACCGCCAGTGTTAAGGTTTTTGAACAATTAGACTATAGTACATATCACCTAAGACTAGGGATACCCTATAGGTCACCGGTAAAATCTTGATAACATAAATGCTTGGTGTCATCATAATTCACTAAGGACTTTTTAAGATGAAGGACCAAAGATTTTCTCACTGAGGACTTAGGGGAAAACAAACTAAATATTCAGTAGTTGAAAGTAATGAACTTGTTGAATAGATCACAAATGAAGGTTAATACAAGGTCAAATCACACACTTACCCTAACATGATCCTCATATCTGTTAAAAAACCATTTTATCTTTCTATTGATTAAGTGAAAATTTCAAAACCTTATCCCAAAGTAAAGCTTTTGTTTAATTGAACTACACATTATCCTCAATACAATACGTAGTCCTCGAGATCGATATCCAGGGAAAAACTCCCTATTATTACTGCAAGGCAAAATCATACACTTGCGATTTTTCCTTATCAACTTTCAAGTATTTAGTGCAATTGTGTGGGACCGAAGGAAGGAAGTGTCTTGGGATCCTCTTGTCAAGCTGGTTTTAGAGAGATTTTCCTCCTAGACAAATGGGTTTGTGAGGTTATAAGGTAGGTTGGTCATGCTGAATTCAATGTTGATTGTTATCCTGGTGTTATTTTTTCATTCTTGAAGATTTCGGTCTTGGTTTGGAATAAGTTGGTTAATTTGAAAAGTCGTTTTCTTGGGAGAGGGACGGGGGGTCAAAAGAGGGAGTGAAGGTAGCGTATGTTAAGTGGGAGGAAATGTGTAAGGCCAAAAATGATGGAGGCTTTGGCTTCAGAGATCTTAGACTTGTTAATTTTGCAATGATAAGTAAACGAGGGTGGATAATTCTTTTGGATTTTCCATCCCTTTGGGGTGATATTACCAAATATAACATGGGTCTCAACGTTATGACTCCTTTTTAGGCGAGAGTTTGAGGGTTTATGAGGGTGTCTCTTTGGAGGAAAGGTGTTTATCTCATAGAACCTCCTTTATCTCTCGTGTCTAACTATTTTGCATCATCTTGATCTAATTTTACCAGGGACGAGAAGAATATAAGGTTTTGGTATTATGTTTGGATGGGATCCAATCCTTTGAGTGTGTCTTTAGAGAGGTTATAGTTTTCTCTCAGAAAAAGTTCCAATTGGTGGATCCTTTTCCTTCTTGTGCAAGGGGTTTCTAATTTCAATGTTTGAGGTGGAGATAATCTTATCGAATTTAGGACGAGGAGAGTCTTGAGGATTTGCTAGATCTTATCTCAATTCTGATTAAACATGACCAGGTAAATGTTTGGGTTTGGAAGCCAAATCCATCAAGACCTTCTTGGCCTGTTTCAGGGTTATGGAATTGAGGGAAAGATGCCTTCAGCTTTAGTTTTTTTTGGTTATCGATTTTATTTTTTGTGAGCACATCTTGTTCTCAGGTTGTATCATATATTCTTTAAATTTTTTTCTTTAATATGCCGCTTATTGTCCGCTTACTTTCTATTTTTATACTGGCCTAATTTTTCATGACTAATTGTTAATAAAAAAATATACCGATTTACTTTGCTATTAAAATACTTCTAAAATCAATTTAATCAAATATAATTAAATGACCTAGTTTTAAAAAAACATAATGAGATAATAAAAACACAGAATTTTATCTAACTATTTACGACTCTATCCGTATGTGTCAATTTTTATAGGATAAGTTTCAAATTTGTAACTACATTAATTATGAAATTATCAAAAAAGTTATGATTATTTTATATTTTCTGTTTAAGTACGATAAATATTAGTTCCAAAAGATTAAACAAAATTTTCTTGTAAATGTGTTCTTTTTTTAATATCCATAGTTGTGGCAGTAGTATGTAACTAGTAAGCATAATGAAGGCAAGGAGTTGTTAATGTTGAAGACAATTATTTATAGTAATTTTTTTATCGATAAGAGATGTAAAATGATTGTTATTAATAGAAACAAAAAAGAACCATAGAATTAAAAAAGGAAAGAGACATATTTAGACAATAGTTTTTTTGGTAATGAAGCTTTGGCATTCAAGTATAAATAAATAATGTATGAAATTGGTTTATCTTCAAATCAAACATTGATTAGCGACAAGTATATAAATAAGAGAAGACATGAAGAAGTTGAGTATTGGCATTATTGTTTCATTCTTATTTCTAGCGTACTTAAGCATAGTTCAAGGACATCATTTTGACATAACAAAATATGGTGGAACACTAAATTCAGATATTACCCAGGTATTTATTATTATTATTATTATTATTATTATTATTAATATTATTATTATTATTATTATTAATATTATTATTATTATTATTATTATTATTATTATTATTATTATTATTATTGAAACAATTAGTATTTGATTCATTTTCTAATTGTTTCGTTTGATAAACAAGGCTTTTTAAAAAGTTTGGAAAGAAGCATGTGAATCACCAGGTGCGACTAAAATAGTGATTCCATCTGGTAAATACAGGACAAGTGGAATAAATGTTGAAGGTCCATGTAAGTCTCCAATTGAAGTTCAAACATAAATAAATGTCATAAAGGGATTGATCAATGGATCAGGTTTGGAACTATGGACCATTTAACCCTATCAGGTAAGGGAATTTTTGATGGTCAAGGTGCAGCTACATGGAAACAAGGTGCAGCTGTTTGGAGCAAAAAATCATAAAGTTGATAAGAAATATTTCCATGGTAAATATTTATTAATTAATACATAATTTTGATTTTTATTTATAATTGACTGGTTAAATTTCAACAGAATTTGGGTTTTTATTTAGAATTGACTGGTTGAATTTCAATAGAATTTGGCTTTTTATTTATAATTGATTGGTTAAATTTCAACAGAATATGACTTTTTATTTTGTTAAAAACTCCATCATCACTAGAATTACATCTAAGTACAGCAAAAATTTCTATTTTATGGTTTATGGCTGCGAAAATATCACATTTGATGGCGTCAAAGTTACTGCTCCTGCTGATTGTGTGTCATTTGGTGATGGTAGCAGAAAATTACTTGTCCAAAATGTGAATTCTGGATCAGGTCATGGTATTATGTTGGAAGCCTTGGAAAGTTTAAAAATGAAGATAATGTAGAAGGTTTGACAGTTAAGAATTGTAAAATGTCAGATACTGATAATGGAGTGAGGATAAAAACTTGGCTATTTGGACAAGGAACACTTACTATTACTGATATACGTTTTGAAGATATTACCATGAGTAGTGTTAGGAACCCTATCATCATTGACCATGAGTATTGTCCATGGAACCAGTGCAACAAAATGAATCCATCCAAAATTAAGATAAGAAAAGATATATTCAAGAACATTAAGGTAACTACAAAAGCAGAAGAGGGAGTGGTTCTTATATGCAGCAGTGGTGTTCTATGTGATGGTGTCGAGTTAAGTAATATTGATCTCAAGTTTAATGGAAAACCAGCAAAAGCTGTATGTTCGAATGTCAAACCTAATGTTTCAGGAAATGCTCCTAAATGTGAAGCTTATTATCCACCTCCCTCCGGCTGATCTATTTTTTTTCACTTTTTCATTTATTTTATTTTAAGAGTACTAGGCATACCATCCCTACATGAGGGTGATGATCATTATAGTAGTTTATTCCATTGGAAATAAATAATTCTACATATGTATTAGAACTATTGTCATTGTGGTATAAAAATTTAATTAGTATTTATATTCTTTAAAGTAAGATTTCATTTCCCACCAAGCATGTTGGCCAAGACGGTAAAATTTGGCTTAATTTTCTTATGCAATCAATTATTCTTAATAGCCAAGTAGCATCAACAATATATTACTATTAAAATTTATAAAAGTCACAAATAATACTGAAGAAGCAAATATCACCAAAAGTGCCCAGGAGAAATATTTATGGCAAAAGCTTAGGACGAATAATAATACGAAAAACAAAACAACACCAATCAGGAGCAACGACATTAACCCGCTTACAAGCCAAACTGATAATCGAGGACATCCAATGATTTTGACAAAAAAAAATTTGAGAAAAAGTAAATTTGCTCTGCATTTTCCAAATAGTTTAGACCACAAAATGTCAGAACGAGACAAAGCATAAAGACACAATTTTCCTATGACTCATAAAATCGACAATGGTAAATGCCATGAACGCTCCCACAAACTTAAGGACTCTATACTATATTGCTAAAGCAACCTCACACGACACAAATAAATGATCGTCCAACCCCTCCTTCCCCACACACATGTCGCACCCTGCATTACTAGAGCCAGACACTTTTAGACCTGTTAGAAGATTTTCCTAGTAAGAAACCTATTTTGGATCAACTGCTAAGAGAAAATAACCACTTTAGAAACCACTTTAGCATGCTCCCAACTCTTCCAAACCATATAAACTCCCTGCAAGACCCTCTCTGAACTACATTCCTGGACCCTAGCCAAAGTTGGAAGGTTATCATAAGATGACCTTTTAGAAAAGCCCCTAGTTTAAACTGGCTCCCACACCCAAACATCTATCTGATCACGTCTAACCACACTTGAGATAAGATCGATCAAAACTTCAAAGATGTCCTCCTCCAAAAGAAGAAACACCCACTTCCCCATAAAACTCTAAACCCATACACACACTATCCAAGAACCCAAAGTACACCCACTTAAAATTTCTTCTCCGAGATAGAAAATAATCTCACAAAGTGTACACACAAATAGGTATTCTCCACCCAGGCCTCATGCCAAAACCTACTCTTTTGGTTGTCATTGATAAACTTAACATAAGATAAGGCAAACCATTTAGACTGATGATATGGATGATATATAAGGAGAGAGACATCTCTCCACCAATGAGACACCGTCCTAAAACCTCTTATCCCGCCTCCGAAATTAAAGTAAAAACCCTAGGAACCATACATAGTTTCGGTACTATCAACCCTATGTGAGGACAAGTCCAAAAGAATCTCTAACCTCCACTTACTTTATAAGACTAGATTAACAAATCTAAGATCTTTCACCCCTAAACCATATGTCCTTTTGACCTTACACCCATCCTCCAAATTAACCCACATGACCTTCGCTCCTCCTCTCAAGCCCCCTATAAAAATGCCTTTGCAAATCCACCAATTTAATCTAAATCTTGACTTGAATCTTCATAAAAGACAAAAAGAATATAGGAATTGAGTTCATAACCGATTTCAAAAGGACCAACCCACCTCCAAGGCTCATAATCTATTCCAGAAAGAGGCTAATCTCTTATAGACTAACTTAACAATATTATCCCAAGTCCATTTCTTCTACAGGTTTGAGCCCATAAGAAGCCCTAAATATCTGAAAAGAAGATAACCAACCTTCTAATGAAGATAGCCTTCTTCCAGCTTCAAGAAAGGCCTACTCACATTAACCAACAAACTTCACTTGAAAAATTCATTTTAAGAACTAATGTCAGCTCGAAGCTTCTGTGAACATACCATCCCTATATGAGGGTGATGATCATTAGTAGTTTAATCATTTGAGAAGAAATAATTCCACATATGTATTAGAACTATTGTCATTGTGGTATACCTTAAACTTTAATTTGGGTGTTTAAGAGTTTCAATTTTAATCTCTCATGACTATCATGGTACGAACTAACATGTTGTTGTAACTAGTAAATTTGTATTAATAGTATTTAATATTATATCATTATATATGTTATTATAACTAGTAATCTTCATAACAATAGGGAATATATGTTATTATAATTAATCTTCATAACACTAGGGAGCTTGTTTGGAAAAGGGAGAGGATTATATCGAGGTTTTAGCAGTAAAATTGTATAGGAGTTACTATTTGAGAGAATGATAATTTCTATTAAAGGATAATTTGCAAGCTTGTTGGCTTGTGTTTTTTCTCGCTTGTTATTTGCTTATAATTGTGTGTTTATAAATGATAAGCTTTTGTCTGCTTATATTTTATTTATATATTTTACTTTAATTTGTTAAATATATGTAATTATTTTTCGTGTTAAATAAAATTAAAAATTTATTTATAATTATTATCAAATAAAATTTTCAATATTTATTAAAGTTTTTGTCTATTTTGTCTAATTTTATAAAATTGTTGCATACTACATTATTTTTTAAGATTAATTTAAAGTGACTTATATCTGAAAATTGTGTAAGAACTACTTTAAGATTAACAACATTTTTTTCAAGTCTTATTTTTATTGCTATAATATCAGGAAAACAAAAAATATTTTATTGTGTTCGAATTTTGATATCTCTTGTATTTTTGAAATTTCAGAAATATTTTTAATATAAGGAAATTTACATAGTTGAAGTAATGATTGACTTGTTAGACCATTTTTTTCCAAAATAAGATAAAAATATTTTATTGTGTTTGAATTCTTTTATCTCTTTTGTGTAGTATTTTTTATTTATCATTAGTTTATTATTTGATATTATATAAAAAATACAGTAGTAAATTATATAGATATTGTAAAAAGTTGTTACATACTATATTATATTTTAAATAAGTTTAAATTGACTTATGCTTGAAAATTATGTAAGAAGTACACTAAGATTAAAAATATTTATTTCAAGTGTTACTTTTATTACTATAATTTCAGCAAATCAAAAAATATTTATTCTATTTGAATTCCTACATCTCCTTTATGTTAGATCAATTTATTCAAAATAAAATATTATTTCGTCTTTGGTGAGGGTTCGAATCTGTGACCTCCAATTTGTAGAAGTATAAGATGAAAATAAGTTTTGAGATCTGCCACATATGACTAAAGAATCATGTGGAAGATTTAGAGTTATAATTGATGACGTGTTAGCGTTATAATTGACTTCGTGTTGTTATAATATTTGATTCATTTGATTTAATATATTATATAGATTCTGCCTCATAGGTTAGAAGTAAAACAATTGGTTTCTTCTACGACATCCAAGTGAAAGTTATAATTTCAATGAAAATCATGCTAGTACTCTTTCGATCAACTCAATTTCAAGTCCAATCATTTCCAATCATTATTAGTGTAACCAACTAACCTATAATACTTATCTGAGGAGAAACTTATGCCATAGTCTATTGTACCCTAAACATATCGAAGAATTATTTTTGTATCATTTAGATGAGTAATAGTTGGATTCACCATGTTCTAATGATGAGTTCAATAGCATATAGAATGTTAAGTCTTTTGCATGCAATGTCTCAAATAAACTGTTGAAATTTGTATCACTCACCTTTTCTTCTCAATAATTTTTTGTGTGAGTACAAGGTTGAATATGGAAGAAGAGAGAGAAAGAGAAGAGAGAAAACGATTACAATAAAATTTTAGAGAGAGAAACTATATTATGAAAAACTCTTGTAAATTCAAATTATGAAAAACTAGTTACAAATTTGTTTAAATACACAACAAAATAAAATGTCACGTAGGCAAAGATAAAAGCTAGCAAAACAAATCAAACCCAAAAACTATGCACAACTTCTGCAACAACAACATCAAAAGGTTCCGCTTTTGACTAACAAGATACTTCCGAATATGACTTACTTCTAAACCCATCCCTTAATTCATATTTAATTAACTAAGCTCTACAACACCAATTTCATCCCTCAAATGGACAAATTGTTCAGTCTTGACAGCTTTCGTAGGAACATCTGCAAGTTTCTTTAAGATGCTACAGTGTAGAACTTCTAGCACTCCATTCTAGACTTGATTTCTCATAAATGGAACTTTGTGTCAATTTTCTTGATTCTCCCATGAAGCATGAGGTTCTTGGCAAGACTTATGGCAAATTTATTGTTAATCATCAATTTCATAGGTTTGCTCAGCTTGATCTTCATATCCTGCAATAAATTTATCAACCAAACATCATGATAAGAAAACAAAGCACCTGCATATATTCAGATTCACAAGCTGAAAATGCAACAACTGGTTACTTCTTGAAGCACCAAGAAATAGGATTTCCCAAATACTTGAAAAAATATCAACTCTGTCTGCACATCAATCAAAGTCTAAATAGCATATCATCTCTGAGTCAGATTTACCACCAGAAGGGAACAACATTATATACTTTAGTATCCCGACATCAACTTGGTAATGTGACCACTTTGGCTTATTCATAAACTTACTCATCATTCCAACCACATGTAAAATGTGAGGTCTAGTGTTACAAAGATGTCTCAATGATTCGACAAACTGTTTGAATGTTGTAGCATTTATATCATCATAATCAACATCATAATTTAAGTTATGATTTGTCTCAACATGTGTGATTGCATTATTAAAATTTGGTAACTCAAATCTCTTCATAAGCTCAAGTTTATACTTTAGATGATACAAAATTATACCCTTTTTATAGTATAAAACCTCCATCCCTAGAATTTATACCATATTTCCCAGATCAGTCCTCTCGAACTCATTCATATGCACCTTCTTGAAGTTGACTATCTCATCTAAACAACTTTCTGTTAGCAATATATCATCAATATAGAGACATGCCAGAATCATATTGTGAAGGCAAGATTCAAGTTTTCATGATGTCAAAACCTTTCCCAAG